CGCTCTCCGTCCGGTTTGCACTGGCCAGTCTTTTCCTTCTTCCTAGTCTCCCCTCGTCTGAAAGCTCTTCTGAAACCTGTCCATGTGGGTGATCCTGCTAATACTTGGGAGCCCTGGTGGGTAGTGAGATGGACTGCTAACCCCAGGATCAGTAGTTTGAAACCATTAGCCTCTCCACAGGAGAAAGATGAGGCTTTCTACTCCCGTGAAGATGTACAGACTTGGAACCCCCAGGGGCAGTTCTATTCTGTCCTGTAAGGTCACTGTGTGTCTGGCCAGGCCCTATGGCAGCGAGTTCTTGGCCTAGCTTCCGGCATCACAGCGACTTACAAGCTACCACAACACAACAACCCGACAGATGAGTGATGGGCCAGTCTTTATCAGAGCTTTGATGGTGCAGCTGTTAAAGTATTCAGCTGCCAAAGATGGACAGCATAAAGACTTAGAACCCTATGGGGGCAGGCCTGAGTCAGAATCAACGTGATGGCAGTGAGTTTGATTTGGGGTTTTCATGTGCAAATAGAATTGGGCGAGGAGATGTGTTTGGGGACCACGGGGCAGTGAGTGGGACAACCTGGCCCAAGGCCAGTGGACTCATCGCGCCCTTATAGAACAGAGCGCTACCCCTGTGGGCTCTCGTGGCAGAGCATACATTACTTAGTACTTAGTACGTGATCCGTGTGCTGCTTACGTGTTATGGAAAAGAATCTAGGTTTAAGGAAGTATCCCCAAACCTGCCCTTCCCACCTCCGGTCTGGGTGGGGCCTGTCACCTGGTCCCCGCCACCCCCTCGCCACCTCATTCCCGCGGCTGCACGCGCCCAGCCGGAGGTCCTGCGGGCCTGGAACCCAGATTCCGTTTCTCCCGCACGCAGACCCCCGGAGCAGGTAGGCTGAGGGCCGCCCCGCTCCTCCCCACACTCCTCCCCACGCTTCCCTGGGGCTTCGGGAGCCTTAGGTAGCTGGACAACCGGGGCGGCGGAGCGGTTGCGAGAGCAGGGACGCGTTGGTCTCTATGGCAACGCACAACAAGCGGAGCTCCAAACAGGAGGCTCTGAGTCGCTGAGCCTGGGCCTGCTGTCTCAGAGGCTGTCCCCAAGCAGAGATGTCCCTGAGCCCAGGGGGGCTTCCACCCGCTCGGGGCACCTGGGAGAGTTGTGGGTCTTGTTCGGGAGCTGGTTCCTGCAGCCCTGAGTCGGCAATGCAGGCGCTCACAGAGCCCAGCCTGCCAGGCCGGCTCCCAGCCTCCTGGGAAGCACTGTCCGGACTGCAGGATCTGGGAGACCCACAAGGAGGGGATTCATGGCAACGTACACCAGCCATGTCAACGCCTGGCACTCCTACGTTCCCAGGGTCCCCGCAGCAGCTCCGGGCGCCTCCAAGGCGACCTTCCTGGATCCAACTCCTGCAGTCGCCAGGCCAGGGCAAGGGAGGAGTGATTTTCCAAAATCCACACGTCTCCGTAAAGTTCCAAGCTTGACTCGGTAAAGTTACTTGCTTGACGTTCTGAGAGAGTTCCATGTTCATGGAAACCATTCCCAAACCAAAAACAAGCTCCTTCATTTCTAGGTGAAACGGAGTTTGGCTTTGGCCACAGACACTTGTCAAATGACTTTTCCACGACCGTGAATGTGGGGGAGACTTTCCAAGGTTGTGAGGACGAAGGAGAAGCCTGCCTTGTTCAGATCTTTCCTGACGCTGGACTAAACTGGCACTTCAGTCCAGCCTCCAACGGCCTGCTACACCATCCCTGTAAAAACCAGCTACCATCTAGCTCACTCCAAGTCCCGGTGACCGGTGTTTCAGAGTTGAACTGTGTGTGCTCTCTAGGGTTGTCCATGGCAGATTTTTCTTTTTTTCTAAACATTTTATTAGGGGCTCATACAACTCTTATCACAATTCATACACACATCAATTGTGTAAAGTGCATTTGTACTTCATTCTCAAAATATTTTCTCTCTACTTAAACCCCGACATCAGGTCCTCATTTTTCCCCTCCCTCCCTGCTCCCCCTTCCCTCATGAGCCCTTGATAGTTTATAAATTGGTATTTTGTCATATCTTG